TAAAGTGGGCGAGTCTACTATTTTTGCAGGCAGGGCATTCCACGCCCTTACTACTATCTACGTCTATCTACGTACTGTGTCAGAAATCCTTCTGAACGCACCGGACAAAATCCTCTCCATCTAAACTATTACAACTAAAAAGTTTCCAATCAATATTTAGAAAGTTGAAGTCACCCATGACTACATCCCTGTGACTTCTCCACCTTTCCAGTATCTGCCTCCCAACTTGCTCCTTCACTTCTCTGCAACTATTCGGGCGTCTGTGAAAAAAACCCCAACAAAGTGACTGCTCCTTTCTTGTTCTGGACCTCAACCTAAAATGACTCTGTAGACATATCATTCTTGAACTGCCTTTCAGTAGCTGCTATACTAGCCCTGACTAGCGATGTCACTCCCCCACCTCTTTTTCCACCTTTCCTATTTCTTTTAAAGCATCTAAATCCCAGAACTTCCAACAACCATTCAGAAAATAGTGTCGTGCAAATATTATTTGCCACTTATCAACCCAAACCTGTATGTTGTCCAGGTCTTGCTACATTTGGAAATGGACTGCCTCAGTATCTGCGGAGTCATGAATGGTTCTGAACCTTATGCAGTTATCAGCAAACATCCCCACTTCTGACTTTTTGATGGAGAGAAAGTAATTGATTAAGCAGCTGAAGGTGGTTGAACTGAGGACATGACCCTGAAGAACTCCTGCAGAGGTTTCTCAAGAGTAAAGTAGCATCTAGTGATGCAGTGATAGAACCCCTACCCGTGAGTCAGGAGGCCCAAATTCATACTCCACGTCTGACAGAAGTGTGTAATAATACCTCTGAACAGGTTAATTAAAAATTATCTAGAACCATGGGAAAGTTATGACACGCAAATAAGATATTCAGCCTGCCTCAATAAACTAACATCTCATTCTCATCCTTGCTGGTCCCTGGACTGTAGTCTTGCAGGTTCTAGCACTTCAGGAGCAGATCCATGTTCCTTTTAAATGAATTAGCTGTTCCCCTTAGTTGAAGGGTCAATAACAAGTGGCACAATTTTAAGCTGAACAGCAGGACATTTAGAAGGGATTGAGGAAAAATGTTTTCACCCAGAGGGTATTGGGGGCCTGGAATGCACTGTCTGGTATGGTAGTTGAGGCAGGAAACCTCACAACCTTTAAAATGTATTTGTATAAACACTGAACATGTCATAACATTAAAGGTAAAAGCTGAAAAAACTGCAGATGCTGTAAATCAGGAACCAAAGCAGAAATTGCTGGAAAAGCTCAACAGGTCTGGCTGCATCTGTGGAGAGAAATCAGAGTTAACGTTTCAGATCGAGTGACCCTTCCTCAGATGTGTTCTTTTTCCTAGGGTGGAGGGGTCACTTACTAAAAGACACAGGTTCAAGGCACGAGGGGGAGGTTTAAAAGATATGTGCGAGGCATGTTTTTCACACAAAGGGTGGTGAGTGCCTGGAACACGCTGCCAGAGGACATGGTGGAAGCAGGCACAATAGCAGCGTTCAAGAAGCACCTGACACATGAATAGGAAGGGAATAGAGGGATACAGATCCTGTAAGTGAAGACGATTTTAAAATGGAAAGGCAAAATATGTCGGCACAGGCTTGGAGGGCCAAAAGGGATATCCCTGTGCTGCATTTTTCTTTGATCTTTGTCCAGTGCAGACTCAATGGGCCAAAGGGCCTCTTCTGTATTGTGTGATTCAATGATTCTATGAGTTGAGGGTTTCCACCTCAACCAGATTGTCCACCAGCTTCTGGGTGAAAATATTTTTCCTCATGTCCCCTCTAATTCTTCTACTGATTACCCTCAATCTCTGCTCCCTGGTAATTGACCTGTCCATGAGAGGCAACAAGCACTACCTATCCACTGTAATCAAGATCCTTATTATTTTGTATATCCACATATCATTACCCCTGACTTCCTCTGTGCTTAGGAAAACAACCTCAACCTATCAAGTTTTCCACGTAGCTGCAATTTTAAGCCCTGGAAGCAATCTTGCAAATGTCCAGGCAATCATGTTCTTACTGTAATGTGGTGACTGGAACTGTGCACAGAACTCCAGCTGTGGCCTATCTAGTGTCTTATATAGATCCGGCAACACATCTCTGCTCTTGTATTTAATATCTCATCTAATGAAGGAGAGAACCCTACAGGTCTTCTTTACCACTTTATCTGCCTGGCCTGCTACCTTCAAAGACTAATGAACATGTGCTCCAAGGTCTCTCATTTCCTCTACCTACTTTTGGTCCACTTAACCAAACGAGTGATATCATCCTGCAGTTGCTGGTATCCAACAGTGTCATCTCAATCAACTACCAAGCTAATTTTTGTGTCATCTGCAAGTTTCCTAATCCCCCCTCTCACATTTAAATCTAAATTGTTAATTTATGTCACAAACAGCAAGGGACCCAACACTGAGTCCTGTAGAACACCACTGGAAACCAGATTCCATCCTCAAAAACATCTGTCAACAGTTCCCTCTGTTCCTTGTCATTAATTCACCATTTTACCCCATGTCCCATGGATTTCATTTTTTCTGACCATCTGCCATGTGGGACCTTTTCGAATGTCTTATTAAAATTCATTTAAAAAGCATTTACTGTACTACCCTCATCAATCCTCATGATATTTCATCAAAAACTTCAATTAAATTAAAATGACATGCCTTCCCTTTTCAAGACAATGCTAGCTCTGAATAGTCCATGCCCTTCTAAGTATGTTTATTCCTATTTCTTGGTATTGATTCTTGTGATTTGCAACCACCAAGGTCAGACTGGCTGATAATTATTTGACCTACCACTCACATTCTTTTTGAATATCCAGTGCCAGTGCTTCCAACCATTTCTTGATATCATGTGCCTCTTTCCAAGAATCTCAAATGCTCTCATTTGAGCTTCGATTGGGACCCAGGTTGTGTTCTTGGTGTGCGAAAATATACCACACTCTGGCAGGACATCACAAGTTGGGTCGAATCCAGACCAGCAGCCTGAATCCCAAAAGAAAAATATTTTGTGGTTAAAAATGTTCACCAATCAGTCCCTTTGCCTCATTATCAGAGTTGAGTAAGAATCAGGGAAGGAGTGAGGGCTGGACTACCCAATCCTCCCATGCCCTGGTTTGAATAAAATACAAGTTGCTAGTGTGTAATACCAAATTGACACATGCAATTGTCCTCATACAAAGTCTGCAATTCCTAGTGAGTTGACTACTCCAGGCATGGGAACATTCTCTGAATAGTTTTGAGGCAGTGTCTGCTATGTTCATAACTGTGATAATGTCACTGACAAAGTATCAGTTGGGATGTTGGCAAATTATTGAAACTGTGAAAAGCTCTGGAGACATCAGCCATGTTCGTTCCCCTACCAGGGCCCCCTATGGTCTCAGTGCTTTGATGTAGAAGATATTTGTTTAACATGTGGGATCTGGCAGGTAGCACACAAATTATACTCCAGGCTCTGGGCCCAAACATTCCTCAAAAGCCTCAGCAATACCCCAAACCCATTCATTCACATCTCCAGATCCACACACATTTTCTTTCCCCACCCTCCACAAACTAGCAGACAAATGCTCCTTCCCTTCTCTCTGTTCTTAGCAGTGACCTTATATAAGTGGAGACTGCAGCAGGCAAGTGTCAGCACAAATTATGCTCCATGGAACCTCTGCCTTTCACATCTTTCCAGGATTCCTAATTTAGAACATTCACTCTGAACCCTTCTGAGCTCCCTGAAAACATTGAGCTCAATAAGTTCATGGAAAAAGTTATTACCATTCATTCTGATAAATCGTTTCCTATTAATGATTGGAACTGATTGGTGTTACACAAAAACACTATAAATGTGTGTTTGTGTTGATGACCCCAAAGTTTATCAACCCTAAAATATTTATATTTGATTGTTTCTTAGTATTTGCTGAAAGTATTGGATAATTTATTACAGTTTTAAAGAATAATGGCATCAGTATATATTGAAATTCATGTGCAGTTTGAGATCATTAGGGAATGTTACTTGATGTACAGAGACAATCCTTTGTAAATATTATTTGTATTCCTTCAGTTAATACCTTCAGCTAAAAAAAAATTGAAATTGTTAGACCTGTGTGTTTTATCACTAACTGAATCTGCAATAGCATCGGTATCATTCAAAATGTGTTTTATTGCTGGTCTTCTTTATAAAGTGTTGGTTGTTTTCTCAGGAGAAAAGCAAAAGTCCCCAGGAGTTGACCCGAAACAGCTGGCTGCAGAACTACAGAAGGTGTCCCAGGAGGCACCCTCTGTCGTTACCTCAGCCACAGAGAAAGGAGCCCACAGCCATTCAGGAACCACATCAGCCACTTCAAGTGCTGCCCCCAGCCCCGGACAACCTGGTTCACCTGCAGTTAGTAAAAAGCGACACAGCAGTAAGGTGAGCAGATGCCTTTAAATATTAGCTTGCTCACTAATACTAAAAGCATGGCAAGTTGTGGACTGATTGAACTCAATAAAATATTGTTCATAAGTTTTACATTTAGAACATAACTTTACTAAAGTGACAACTTTGATAATTAATTAAAGGAATATATTTTGTTTCAGCCAAAGTTTCCTGGGGCTCATTGAATTGTTACAACCCACTTGAGAAAGTGACAGATTCTCAAATCCTACGACTCTCGAGATCAGTTCAAAAGTTAATGATTTAATCAAGCTCCACAAAGTCCCCAGTAACCAGCCTGATGGAATCAGATTAACAGAAAGCACAGCAAGATTCCTGTACTTAACAAGAATCACTTTTACTACAGATAAATAAATTTTAACCATAGGATAAAAAAAATTATGAACTAACAACTTGTAACTCAACTAGCCAAAACTCTAGCCCCTTTTTTAAACCTCTACTCGCACACAGGGGCAGATACTGACAAACTGGAAAAAAAAAATCGCTTTGTGTTGCGGGTAGAGGAAAATCTCTGGAGAAGCACAGTTGAGTAGCACCATTCCACAAGGTTTAATGAGATACTTCTTTTGCTTCCCATGACCTTTTGTTCTTCAGTCTCCTTTCTACAAGTGTTCTTCATTTCTTCCGGAGGCACAGAACAAATGGAACACCAATGGTTAAAGCAACAACTTATAGTACTGGTGGAAGACTCCAGGTACTTTTACTGCAGAGAGATAGAAACACAAAACCTGCTCTTCCAGTAGTCCAAAAAATTTCCAGCACCCACTGTTGTAAACCCCCAAGCAATTCACCTGCCCAAGAACTAATCAGAGAACTGTCATCAGGCTGATGACTTCCAATATCCACAACTAGTCACATTTTCACAAACCAATCAACAAGATGTTGTCACCTGAATCCATTCTGCATGCACACACCAGTGCTGTGCTATCTTATCTCTCCTTCCTCGCTGCTTACAAACCAGCAGCATAACAAAATTCACAATGAGGTCCAGTAACGTGTTTGAAAAAGTGCAGCAATTCCTTCCACAGTTTTTGGTTTCAAACCAATTTTTTTCATTTCACTGTACAACCAAAACTAAAGAAAACAAAATGATCCTGTTTTTACATAAATTACTGTTCAGACATTTAAAAACTAAAACTCACTGCGGTGGAGATGAGAGCTGTAGAATCAAAGAATGTTGACAGCATAGAAAATGGCCAATCAAATTATCCTGACCCTAATGACTATTTGCAGGAATAATTCAGCAAGGGCCACTCAGCACTCTTTCTCCAAAATCATGCATTTCTTTATGTCGGCAGATAAGAATTCAATTCTCCTTTATAAACCTTAATGGAACCTCCCTTCAACACACACTCAGGCAATATGTTCAGATCTGAACCAATGTCTGCGTAAAATATTTTCTCCTCATATTAGCACATATGTGTTTCCTACTCAGATTGTGATTGGATTTGTCAGATCTCATATGAAAACCTGGCTTGTTGGATCATGTTTTTTTTTGTTTGGTTTTAACAAGCGATCTCTCAATAAAACAAAAGCACACAATGTTGCAGGTTATAGATTATCAATAAAAAAAAAAGCTTTTTAACCAAAAGGAATGAAGATAAAATGGAATAAACTAAACTATGTACTTGTAACACAAATTCAGTGTTTTAAACACATAAAAGTATAACCGAATTAATCCCAAAGCACCCATTTACAAATTCCAAAAAAACTCTTATTGCTTGTACAGTACACAAAAACAGCTTACAGAGAAAAACCTTTTGTGACATCTTAGATTTAGATTAAAGTTTTGTTGTCACGTGTACTCAAGTACAGGGTATAAGAGTACAGTGAAAAGTGTACAATGTCGTCACACACAGTGCCATCTTAGGTACAAACATACCTAGATACAAAATCTTAGTTACAGAAATAGAAAAATAATGAAAGTTAAGTTAAAAAGTTCAGCACCACAATCTTCTTAGCATAAAAGTGGAAAAATAAAGAAATAAACTTTAAAAAGTCAAACATTACAGTCCTTTCTTAAGCCATGAGCCTCCCACTGTCCCAAGTGGGGCTTTCCCCAAGAAGGCTCGCTTTTCCCTGCACTGGGCAAACTTTTACCCATATTGGGCTAAGACCTGCCTGTGTTCGCCAGCCACCTTCACCATCGACCATTGCTGCTGACTTCCATCGGGCTTGCCAGACTTCGCTGCCACTCGCAAGGCTTCATCCCCGACTGCCCCTTCGCTGCTGACCATAGCTGTCATCATCCTTCGTGACTGATCGCTGATGCTGCCATCTTTCGATGCTGTCATCCTTCGCCACATGCCGCCATCCGGGCACTCACTGGGCCCCAGCCGCTGCCATGCTCCATTGCCACATTAGCCATCTCGCTGCAGATCCCACTCTGGTGCTGCTCCTGACATGCAGTAGGTGAGTAGAGGAAGAAGAAAAAAAGAACTAAGAGAAAGAAAGGAAAGAAAAGCGAGAGAAGAAGAAAGGCGAAGAAAGAAAAGCGGTCGGAGCGGGCGAGGAACCCTACTCCGCCGCCATCTTGGAAGAGCCAGTGAGAATACAGCATGGTGAGGCTCCCTGAGATACTCACCTTAAAGGAAAGTATGAATTTAACTCCTAGATTAGAAACAATATAGTTTCTTCCTGGAGCTTTCAGACACCTGAGTTTAAACATACTTAGCTTGAAGTAATTTCTTCAGAGTTTTATCTCAACATTTCTGATTTGGGACAATCACTCACTCACTCACTACTCTAGATAATCTAGTTTTACTATATTCTCCCCTTAACAGTGGCATTCCTCTTTACAGACATTTCCATTCAAGGACTTCACAGAACAGTGCAAAACAAAGTAAGACTAAAAAAAGTCTCTCCCGCTAAGCTATGGGTTTCCCTAAACTTATAAAGAATTCTAAAGCATAATGGTTTACCTTGATAAGTTGTAAAACATCTTAAGGTAAACAAAACTCCATTAGTGCTGCCAAAGTAGCTCACTCAAACTGTCTTAAAAGAAATTTTCATGGCTACAGATACACTTAGAAGTTAATTATTAACTTCAGATGTATAGAAAACCCGTACGTCACTTAGGCAAACTTAAAATTGATGATTTTAAAAATACATATAAATCACAGTCTATATCACAACACTCCATCCTTCCATCAACAGAAACACTTCTCCCTCTCTACTGTGTCCAGACCACTCACGATTTTGAATACTTCGATCAAATCGCCTGTCAGTCTTCTCTTCTCTGAGGAGAATAGCCCCAACTTCTCCAATCTATCTTTGCAATTGAAGTTTGTCACTCATAAACTATTCTTATGAAACTTCCCAGTCTGAAATTGAAGAATTACAGTATAAACTATGAGAAATTGATAATGGAGAAAAAGGAAATGGCAGAGAAATTAAATGACTCTGTTTTCACAGAAAACACAGAAAACTTCCCAAAGATCTTTTGCAACGGAAAAATTGAAATAAATTAGTGTTCGTAAAGTATTGCTAGAGAAATTAATGGAACTGAAAGCTGATAATCCCCGACATACTAAAGGAGGCAGCCATAGAAATAATGAGTAAATTGATTGTCATCTTCCAAAATTCTGTAAATTTGGGAACAGTTCCAGCATATTGAGGTGTGAAAAAAATTAAAAGAGTCTTCTTACAATCATCTGCTGAATACAAGAAATCCATCAATATATACACACTTAGTCACATCCACAAATTGCAACCTTGTCAGTACACAGATGTCTTCAGTCTTATTTTTGATTCCTCAGGGGCTGCTTAACCTTATCTTAGCCTGACTGTGCTAGGTACTGCTTCCTCCATTCCTTACCAGTATCTTTGTTTTCACTCTGGATTATGTACCTCTCCATGGATTATACCTAGAAATGCATAAGGAATCCTCTGTCTTCTGATTCCCAAGGCTTCTCTGGAAAGTTCTGACACCAGCACTTATTCTGTGCAAGGTTCACCTCAGCAATTCTGCCAACTGTGAGGATAGATATCCTGATTTAATTCTCACAAGAAATTTCTATTTAACTTTTACTTCAACTAACATCAAGAGAAGGGAAAATATTGTAAAGAACGTGATAACAGAGCACTTAAAGTACAAACATTATTACACAAAGATAACATGGATTCATGAAAAGGAAATGGTGTTTAACAAAGTTTTTTTGAAGTTGTGCTAGTAGAATGGATAAGGGAGAACAAGTGGATGTGTTGTATTTGGATTTTCAGGAAGTCTTTTTATAAAGTTCCTTGTAAGAGGTTATTGTGCAAGATTAAAGTATAAGGGATTGGTGAATTAACATTTGGTTAGCAGACAGAAAGCAGTAGTAATAAAAGGAGTTTTTTAAGAGTAGAAGGCATTGACAAGTCAGATACCTTATAGATCAGTGTTTGGGCCCCAGCTGTTTTCAATATACATCAATGATTTGGTTGAGGGAAACAAATGTAATATTTCCAAATTCGCTGATGATATACAACTTAATGGGAATATAGGTGATGGGTAGGACATAGAGGCTTCAGAGCAATTTAGACAAGTCAATTGAATAGGTAAATGTGTGGCAAACACCATATAACAATGATCAATGTGATGTTGTCTACTTCTGTAGGAAAAGTCAAGATAGTGGTGTATATTTAAATAGGGATAGATTGAGAAATGTTGATGCCCAAAAAGAACCTGGGTGACCTTGTACACTGATCACTGAAAGGAAGCATGCAGGTGAAGCAAGCAGTTAGGAAGGTAAATGATATGTTGGAGTTCATTGCAAGAGTGTTTGAATACAGGAGCAAGGATGTCTTACTGGAGCTATACAGGGCCTGGGTGAAACCACACCTGGAGTATTGTTTGCAGTTTTGGTCTTGTTGCTCAAAGGACAGATGTACTTGCCATTGAGGGAATGCAGGGAATGTTCACTAGACTGATCCTTGGGATGAGACATTTGTCATATCAGGACTGATTGGGTCAACTGATCAGCACAGGAACAGGCCCTTCAGCTCACCAAGACTTCACTAACACATGATGTCTTTCTAAACTAAAAATCTTTTGCCTCCATGTGGTCCGTATTCTTGTATCCCCTGCCTATATCTCTGTATTGATGCCTCTTAAATGCTGTTTCTGTATCCACCTCTACCACCTCTGGCAGCACATTCCAGGCACTTAGCACCCTCTGTGTAAAAGGTTTGCCCCTCATATCTCCTTTAAACTTGCCCCCTTTTACCTTAAACCTATGTCCCTAGTAATTGACATTTCTCCTTTAGTAATTTATATTTCTACCCTGGAAAAAAGACTCTGACTATCCATTCTATCCATGCATCTCATAATTTTGTACACTTCTATCAGATCGCCCCTTATCCTTCAACGTCCACATGGAAACAAACCTAGTTTATCCATCTCTCCTCATAGCTGATACCCTCCAAACAAGACAACATCCTGGTAAACCATTTCTGTACTCTCTCCAAAGCCTCCAGATCCTCTGGTAGTGTGGTAACCTGAACTGTAAACATTATTCCAAATGTAACCTCACTAAATTTCTACACAGCTGCAACATGACTTGCCAATTTTTACACTCTGTGCCCTGACCAATGAAGACAAGCGTGCCTTATGCCTTCTTGACTACCTTATTCATTTGTGATGTCACTTTCAGAGAACTGTAGACTTGTACACCGAGATTCCTCTGTATGTTAATACTTCAAAGGGTTCTACCATTTACTGTACACTTCCCTCCTGTATTAGACCTTCCTAAATGCGTCAACTCTGTCTGGATGAAATTCCATTTGCCATTTCTCCGCACAAGTCTCCAGTCTGTCCATGTCCTGCTGTATTCCCTAGTAATCCTCCTTACTACACTCACGCAATCTTTGCATCATCCACAAACATACTAATCAGGCCACCTTCATTCTCCACTAAATCATTTATATATATGATGAACAACAGAGGTCCCAGCACTGAACCCTGTAGAACACCGCTGTTCACAGATCATCAATCTGAGAAATACTCTTCTACCCCTACTGTTTCTTCAATGAATAAGCCAGTTATGTATACATCTCACCAGCTCATCCGCAGATCCCAAGTGACCATCTTTTGTATCAGCCTGCCATAAGGGACCTTGTGGAAGACCTTACTAAAGTCCATTCCGATAACATCCACTGCCCTGCCCTCATCAACAAACTTTATTACATCCTCAAAAAACTCAAATCAAGTTTGTGAGACACAACCTTCCCCACACAAAGCTATACTGCCTATCACGAATAAGTCCATATTTTTCTAAATGTGGAATAAATGCTATCGCTAAGAATCTTCTCCAATAATTGCCCTAAATTGACATATGGTTCACTGGCCTGTAAATTACTGGATTATTCCTGCTGCCCCTCTTCATCAAAGGAACAATGTTGGTTATTCTCCAGACCTTGGAGCTCTCTCCTGTTTCTAAAGTGGATACAAGGATTTCATACAAGGCTCTAGCATTTTCCTCACCTGCCTCCTACAGAATTCTGGGATAGATCCCATCAGGTCCTTGGGAATTGTCTACCTTAGTGCTTTTCAAAACACCCAACACCACCTTCTTTATACTAATATACCCTGGAATATCAACATATCCCTCCTGGTATGGACTATCCACCATGTCCATCTCCTTTGTGAATACTGATGCAAAGTATTCATTAAGTACCTCACCCATGTCCTCTGGATCCATGCATAAATTCCAATTTTTGTCCTTGATTGGACCTACCCTTTCCTAAGTTACCCTCTTGCTCCTTATATATGTATAAAACACCTTGGGAGTTTCCTTAATCCTGTTTGCTAAAGACATTTCACTGCCGCTTTTAGCCCTCCTAATTCCTTGTTTGTATTCATTTCTGCTGGTTTTGTATTCTTTGAGGACCCTGTCTGTCTTCAGTTTCCTAAACTTTACGGATACCTCCTTTTTCTTTTTGGCTAAGCTCTCAATTTATCTTGTCATCCAAAGTTCCCGAATCTTGCCATCCTTATCCTTCATTTTCACAGGAACATGCGAGTCCTGAACTCTAATCAACTGGCCTCTGAAAGATTCCCACATGCCAAATGTGGATTTACCATCAAGCGGCCAACCCCCCAATCTCTCCCTATCTGTTCTTGCTCTTAGCCTTACTGGTCTTAGTCTCTGCCTCCTCCTCGGTCATTTTACTTGCTGACCTTCTGCTCTGATTCTTGTGCCCCCTGCCGCACTTGTTTAAATCCTCCCAAGTGACACTAGCAAACCTTCCTGCCAGGATGTTGGTGCCCCTCCAGTTTATGTGCAATTTCTTGTACAGATCTCTTCTGCCCTGGAAGTGATCCCCATCATCTACATACCTGAAGCCTTCCCTCCCACATCAGCTCTTCAGCCACATATTTAACTGTACCATTTTCCTATTCCTGTCCTCATTGGCACGTGGCACAGAAGAATCAAAAATGACAGTACTGGTGTCAAATAATTTTTTCACACCAAGTAAGAATCGATATGCATGCATTCAATTGATGTTCACTGTGCATACAATAATGTCCAACCCAAAACAGCATCCATTGTGGCTTTCTTTAGAGGAATCCACATAAGACATTGAATGTCATTTTGGAATAAAAATGGATATTTTCGCACCATCAAACCAAGCACTACTAAGCTGAGTTTAGCAGCTTCTAAGTTTAGTATGAATCCAGCTGATGAAATTGAATTCTTTTAATTTTTAAATATCTGTAATTAATTCAAGCTTTTCAGTTATAACATTAGCTCCAGCTGGTAATGAGTCAAAAGCACAAATGTTCGCATAATTATGCTGTATTGACAGTCACATACAAGGATGCAAATAGAAATAGTTACACGTGATGTGTTTTCAAAAATTGGATTTTTGATGATTTAAGGTCTAATGGAGTTAATGAGGTATTGACCTGGATGGTTTTCATAATGACAGCATTTCAGAAACTGGACAAATATTTATCAAATAAATCAATTCATCTTCCTGTCTCAACTCTTCTCTCCATGTGTGTGCTGACCTTATATTTTGGCAAAGTATTACATTTATGTAAAAATAAAATTCAGGAATCATCAGTTTCTTCTGGGTCGTAAAATACAATTAAAAATGTCAGAAGAGAGTAAAAGAAAGGCAGACTGAAGCAAATAGAATGTAAAAGAATAGGAGAGAGAAAGATACAAGATATCCCTGAGATTACAGTCCTTTAAATGGGTGGAATTGAAGTTGGTTCTTATGTTTAGCTTTTACAATTATTATTGGTCTTGCCCAGCAGCCCTGTTTAATTTGAGGACAATAATTAAAATGGGATAAATGAGAAGGATGACAGAAGGGTAACAGTGGGCAACTGATCACAGAAATATAGCATGGAAGAATGAGTGAAAGTCAGAAACAAATACAATGAGCAACAGGTGAAGATGGTACTAGGTAGAATACCTCAGCTGTGCTGAGTTAACCCAATGATATTACAATTTGGCAGCTCTTCCTTGAGGTTTATTTATTTTTCATTGATGTTCTGTGATAACAAAGATGGTTTTGTTTTAATAGGACTTTCCATCTAAAAGGAACTTTCAGCTCAATCATTATCCATCAACCCACACTGAAAAACCCACTAACATTTTGAATACTGTGAAAAATTCCATAACTGCAGTTGAGACAACCTATAACATTTTCATTTTGAATTGTATAACACACAACATTCCAAAAAAATGATCATTTCACTTTATCTTCCAAGCTTAATGGATCCTTAAAACTTCCAGGGTTTCAATGTGGACCTGCGCATTCACCAAAAACTATTCAGTTCTTCCTTCGATCGTGTCATATTTCTCTCCTGTGTTTCCTTGAAATCTGCTAATTAGTGTTGAAGTATATTGTTTATAAACAAATTAACAAACAGGAATGAAAACACTTGACTCCTCCAACCTCTAGTGGCAAAGCTAAACATGACAATTACTCAAAATGTCTAATCATAATATGAAAGAGCTACTTAAAATTATTTTCATTCTTTTACAGCCTCCTGAAACAGCAAGTAAATCACATCCAATTACTGGCGAAATTCAGGTAAAACATTTTTTTTTACTATGGTGCAGTTTAAATTTCATTTTCTGTTTAATATCAAACATGATTTTTAAATTAAACATTTGATAGCCATTTTCTAAAGCTTTACTCCTGTCCTGTTCTTATTTACAAAAGATTGTTGATCTGAAATCACATTCTAAAGATATTTACTTCACAGTTTGGTTGAAGATTTGAAGAAAAGTGAGGTTATAATTCCATCATTATATCTTCTTTTAAGTTGAAAACCTCACAATTAAAGAATAGCAAATAAATCCACGGTGTTATATTGGGATGTGGCAAAATGTGGAAGATTTATAAATAAAGAGAACAACATGTGGGATAGAGGAGTGTTGACTCATGGCACTGGCATCATTGCTGAGAAAAGGAAACTATCCTTTGGGGTGGATTTTGATATAATCGGGCCGGCACTAGATGTCTGAACCATTGTACAACTATGACTATGGACAGAGCTTTAAACCAGCAGAGCTGGGCAGGGTGGGGTGGGAGTTATGAATGGGTGTGAGGTTTATGAGTGAAAATTCAGATGAAGTGAGATTTAGAAGTTCATAAAGAAACATCATGGCAATGGACGCAAGTCACAATGTTGAAAAAGACAAGCAACGTGGGACAGGAAGAGACAGAGAAATGAACATTAATTGCGCACCATTGATTAAAGCTCAAGCAGTGAATTATAGTAAATAATAAATTAAAGGCTCTTTTCCCAAATGCGTGAAGCATCCACGATAAAATAGAAAAGCTAGTGACACAAATATTTTGGAAGGATGGATAGAATGGCAAAAGAGGACGGATAACCATGATAGTAAGGATAGAAGGACATTAGTGAGAAAGAATCTGGCCTCAGAGGATTGTGAAGTAGAATCAACATGGATCAAGATTAGGAGTAACAAGGTTCATAATCAATGAAGAGTGCCAGAGAGCATGCCACAACAGCACCAAGCATACCTAAAAACAAGATACCAACTTGGTGGAACTACAACACAGGACTATTGGCATACCAAACCGAGGAAGCAGCATGTATTAGACGAAGCGAAGCAATCCCACAAAGAATGAATCAGATCTAAACCTTGCAGTCCTGCCACATCTTGTCATGGTGGAAAATAAAATGATGCACTGGAGGATGAGGCTCCATATATATCCTCAAGTGATGTGGGAGCTCAGCACGTGTACAAAAGACAAGGCTGAAGCATTTGCAATCTTCAGTCAGAAGTACTGAGTAGATGATCCATCCCCAGTGGTCCCCAACATCACAGCCGCCAGTCTTCAGTCAATTTGAACCACTCCACTTGATATCAAGAAACAGCTCCTCACTGTGGACACTGCAAAAGTCATGGGCCCTGACAATATTCCAGTATTAGTATTAAAGACATGAGCTCCAGAACTTGCCGCTATCCTAACCAAGCTGTTCCAGTACAGTTACAGCACTATTGTTTACTCAACAATATGGAAAATTGCCCAGGTATGTCCTGTACTCAAAAGCAGGACAAATCCAACTGCCAGTTACCCCTCCATCAATCTATTTTCAATAAAGCTATGGAAGGAGTCTTTAACTGTGTTTTCAAGCAGCACCTGTTGAGCAGTAATCTGCTCAGTGTTGCATGGTTGGTTCTTGCCATGTATCAAATGCCCTATGCCTTCTGGATAGTTGTGGTCATGGGTTTAGAAGATGCTGTCTCAAGAGTCCTGGTGAATTTCTGCAGTGCGTCTTGTAGATGGTACAGACTGCTGCTACTGAGCGATGGTGATGGAGGGAGTGGATATTTATGGATGTGGTGCCAATTAAGGGGCTGCTATATCCTGGATAGTGTCAAGCTTCTTGAATGTTGTTTGACCTGCACTGGTCCAATAAAATGAAGGAATATTAAATCAAAATCCTGATTTGTGCCTGGTATGTGGTGGACAGTCTTTGGGGAGTCACAAAGTGGGTTACTCACTGCAAGATTCCAGCCTCTGATCTACTCATTTGGCTACAGTGTTTATACAATTCCTTCAGTTCAGATTTTGATCAATGATAATTCCAAGGATATTGATAATGGCTATTCAGTGATGGTGAAGCCATTGAATTTATTAGATTCTTTCTTATTGGTGATTGTCAATGCCTGGCTGTTGTTTGGTATGAATGTGACCTGCCATATCTTAGCCCAAAACTATTGTCTAGGTCTTGTTGCATTTAGGCATGGATAGCTTCAGTACCTGGTGCTGAATATTACACAGTCTTCAGCAAAAATCCCCAATTCTGACCTTAGAGTGGACAATGTCAGAAGTCACATAACACCAGGTCACAGTCCAACAGGTTTTTTAGAAATCGCAAGCTTTCAGAGCGCTGCTCCTGCGTCAGATGAAGTCCGCCTGATGAAGGAGCAGCACTCCGAAAGCTTGTGATTTCAAATAAACCTGTTGTGGACTATAACCTGGCGTCATGTGAGTCCTAACTTTATCCACCACAGTCCAACACAAGCACCTCCACATCATGGCGTTAGAATGGAAGGAAAATCATTGGAGAAGCTAAAATCATTGGACCAAGGACACTACTCTCAAGAACTCCTGTGGAGATATCCTGGAGCTGAGATGACTGACCCACACTGACCACAACCATGTTGCTTTGTACCAGGTATGACTCCGACCATTTGAATTGCCACACTTGGTCATATTCAGCTTTGATATCAAGGGGAGTAGTTGCTACTTCATTACTGGAATTCAGATATTTTATCCATATTTAGACCAAGGCTGTAATGAGATTGGAGGTAAGTGTAGTGTTAAGCATCCCTAGCAAAACTGGAGTCAATAGGAATCAGGCAAAAATGCTCCTCCATTTGGAGTCATGCCTGGCCTAGAGGAAGATAGTTGTTGTTGTTGGACATCAGTGTCTCAGCTCCAGGGTATTTCTTCAGGGTTCCTCAGGGTTGTGTCCCAAGCCCAACCATCTCCAGCTACTTCATCAGTAAGCTTCTCTGCATCATAAGCTCAGAAATGAGGATGTTCGCCAATGTTCAGCACCATTCATAAATCCTCAGATGCTGAAGCAGTCAATGTCCAAATGCAGCAAGATCTGGAAAATATCCAAGTTTGGGCTGACAAGGCAAATAACATTCACAACACACAGAATCACAAAAGTGTGATAACACAGAAGGAAGCCATTTAGCTGACTGTGTTTGCACAGGCTCATTAAATGAGCACCATTACCCAATGACAATCTCCTGCTTTTTTTCTCATACCCTTGCACATTATTTTTATCCAAATAATTAGCCAATATCCTATTGAATGCCTCAACTGAACATGTCTCCACCACATTTCCAGGATGTACAGTCAATAGCATAACCACTCAGTGTGTGAAAAAGATTTTCCTCACCTCATCCTTGCTTCTTTTGCAGATAACTTTAAATCTACATTCTGTCATTCCAGTTTATTCTAAGATAGGGAGAAAATTTTCCCAATCTACTTTATCCGCATGAGTTTGGAAATCTCTACAAAGCCCTTCTCAGCCTTCTTCTCTCCAAGGAGAACAATCCCAACTTTTTTAATTTATTGTCATCACTGAAGTTTCTCATGCCTGGAACCATTCTTGTGAATTGCTTCTGCACTATCTCCAATAAATTCTGATTTCTCTATCTAACACAGTGGCATTTGAATCCATGTTCCTAGAATATTAGCCTATGGTTTTGGACAACTGATTTGTTAGCATTGCACCACCTTCATACCTGACAATGACCATTTCCATCAAGAGATCAGACCCACATTCACAAACATTCGTTCCCTTCATCACTAACATTCAGTAGCAGCAGAATGTACCATCCACAAGATGCATTGCAGAAACTCACCAAGGCTTAGAGAACACCTTCCATATTGTATTGTGAGCAAATGTGAAATTCTTCATCTTTGTCATATAAATAGAAAAGCATAAGACTTGTAAAGCATTGATGTTCCTAAGGATTGTGTGTTCAAATAAAGAACACAAAGTGAGTGTGCAAGTTTAGCACGCAATTAGGAAGGCAAATGGCGTGTTGGCCTTTATTTTGTGGGGACAAGAATAAAGTTGTCTTGATGCATTGTACAGGATATTACTGAGATAATACCTCTTAAGTTAAAGAAGCATGTATTTGCATTGGAGGCAGTACAACAAATTGGCCCCTGTGAGTTTGAGTAAACTGGGCCTTTGCTTATCTCTTCTGGAAGAATGACAGATGACCTGTTTGAAATGTGCAGGCATGCAGATGTTATAGTAGATATAGAATCATAGAATCATATAATACAGAAGAGGTGCTGTGATCCATTCAGTCTGTATTGCCAAAGCTATGCTAAATCTACACTAGTAGGTCCATAGCCTTGAATGTTGAGATTTCAAGTGCTCATCCAAATGCATTTAATAAGTTGAGGAGTTAACCATCTCAAATACCCTCCCAGGCAGTGCATTCCAGATCCTCACCACACACTGTACGTTTTTTTATCCACAAGTAGAACAAGAACAAAGAACAGTACAGCACAGGAACAGTCCCTTTGGCCCTCCAAGCTGGCGCTGACACATTTTGCCCTTCCATACTAAAACTGTCTTCACTTACAAGATCTGTATCCCTCTATTCCCTTCTTATTCATGTGTCCAGTTGCTTCTTGAATATTGCTATTGAGTCTGCTCCAACACCACCTCTGGCAAAGCATTCCAGGCACTCCTCACCCTTTATGTGAAAAATTTGCCTTGCATATCTCTTTTAAACTCTACCCCACCCCCCATCCCTCGATGCCTTTGAGAAGGTGGAGGTGAGCTGCCTTCTTGAATTGCTGCAGTCCCACCTGCTGTGGGTTGACCCACAATACTGTTAGGGAGGAAATTCAAGGATTTCTACCCAGCAACAGTGAAGGAATGGTGATATGTTTCCAGGTCAGGATGATGAGCGGCTTGGAAGGGAGCTTGCAGTGGGTGGCGTTCCCATATATCAGCTGCCCCTGTTCTTCTAGACAGAAATGGTTGTGGGTTTGGAAGGTGCTGTCTGAGAATCTTTGGTGAATTTTCGCAATACAATTTTTTGTGGATAGTACACACTGCTGCTACTGAACGTCGGTGATGGAGGAAGTGGATACTTGTGGATGTGGTGCCAATCAAGCGGCTGCTTTGTTCTGGATGGTGTCATTAAGTGTTGTTGAAGATGCACCCATTCAGGAAACTGGGAAGTATTCCTTCACATTCCTGATTTCTGCCTTGTAGATGATGGACAGGCTTTGGGGAATCAGGAGGTGAGTTACTTGTTGCAGGATTCCTAGCCTCTGATCTACTCTTGCAGCCATTATGTTTATATGGAGAGTCCAATTGAGTTTCTGGTCAGTGGTAACCGCAAGGATATTGATAGTGGTACATTTAGTCATGGTGGATTGAAGTCATAGTAATCACAGATGAATTTATACTTTCCTTTCAAATGACAGGAGTATTTCAATGGAAAATGCAAATCTCAAAAATTTAAATATTGCTAAAAAATTACAGATTTGTTAATTTTGTTTTAACTTACACTCATCAGGACAATTTTCAAGTCACTTTGGCCCTGAAAGTGCCCAGTTTATCTCAGATTACCATGAAGGGTAAAGTCTCAAACATTTGAGTAATAGGTGAAACAAGCTTTTTCGTGCTACTACTATGCAGAAGCAACCTGAGTGGCATTCACCACCAACAGGGTCCTACTGTCAAACGAAAAAGACTTTCTGTCCTCCGATGATTTGTTTAATCATTTGTTAAGCACAGGATGTGTTAATTAGCATTGGTTCTCCGTGTCATAACATGAGAAGAAATCTAATTGGTAACCCTGCTGTAGAACTGGCATTTACTTAATGGTGTATTACATTGTGAAATTGTAAGATGGCACTGAACACAAAGTGCTCTTGTCAGTTTATTTATTTTACTAACAATTAGAAGATTTATTGAAAGAATGTGTTAAAAATGGCAACGGAGTGCAGGGAAAGAGAATTATGTAAGAAAAATAGGATAATCTAACAAAATCTAAATGAATTAATTAATTCAGTTTTGCAACTTGAAAAGCCAATCTATGATCAAGCATAAAAGCAACATAAAAAGGTACAAATCCTTTTCCTTAATGTTATTTAGAATCTCTTCTTCCCTTAGTTACAAATGAACTATGACAAGCACATTGGAAATCTCATTGTTCATGTTCTACAAGCTCGGAACCTTGCTCCAAGAGACAACAATGGTTATTCAGATCCATTTGTTAAGGTTTATCTTCTTCCAGGCAGAGGGTAAGGAAAGTATCTCATCAACTTTAATGTCTTTGCAAAATAAAAAATTACACACATGATACATGCTCATAAAAAAGGCTTAGGGTGGATATTAGATATTTTTCCCTTGTGTATGTAAACCTGCTATTAATAATGTTATTGGAGATTCCAACCTTTTCCACAAAAATTGTTTGAATATTGCAAGAGCTGCCAAGATGTTGGTTACAGTTTCATGGTTTTACAATCTTGGCAACACTATAAGGTCCTTTGTGCACACCAAATGAAATTGAACCCAGAAGCTGACGCTGAGCCAATTTATTCCTGGTAATGGGTATGCTGTTTGCTAAAGCCTTGACAAGAGCCATGGTGCAATCTGAATAAGGGTCCCGACCCGAAACGTCAACTTTCCTGCTCCTCTGATGCTGCCTGGCCTGCTGTGTTCCTCCAGCTCCACACTCTGTTGTCTCTGCCTGGCCTGCTGTGTTCCTCCAGCTCCGCACTGTGCAATATATACAATGTTTTGCAATTTATCTGAAGAAAGGAACCTCAGTTGTGGTGGTGGAGAGAACGAGGTCATTTGGCCATCGAAGTTATCTTCCGCCAATAATTGAATCAGATAATTTAGAGGCACCATGATCTTGACACCAAACCTTGGAACTATAGACACTGTCCCAGATATTACTACAACAGCATTAATATACACCAGTGTAATCTATATATCAAAGTTATTAGATTTTTTAACCTCTACGGCATAATTAATATACAATTATAAAATGTGCAAACTGATCAAAGAAGGTCCAGAGGTGTTCCCATGACAAAATTGAACTGGCCATTTTAAAAGAGAATGATGTCACTTTGAAATTCAAAAATCATTTTAAAGATAAGTTCTTCAGTTTTAATAACATTTTAACTTTGCATAGCTGTTGATTGAATGCTTTGGGAAACACCACTTTCTAACGAAATGAGAGAAGGAACAGGACTATTTTGGGACTACAAAATAGAAGCCAGTTTTTTACTTGACAGCTGATTGAAAACACTCCTTTCACTTCACACGTTTGGTCTAATCTATCCCAAACAAAGATAATATGTTTCCTCCCTTTCCTCCTGCCCTTCTGTCAGGAACATGGACACATTCCATTCCATTTTTAAGGAATGCACACCCAGAAGGAAAAATGATCTATTTTTCAGAAAAGTTGGGATCAAATTACTAATAAGCAGCAAGAATACTTGGGGTGCTAAATAGAAAAAAATTACCTGGGTTCAGGAAAAGTTTAGATTAATGTACACCTTTGGTATTACATAGATTGATCAAATTAACCAGATCCAGGATATCTAGAAGTACTTGTTGCAAACACTACCTACCAATTGTTGAATCAGTTTGCATTTACCAGATATAATCCTCAACAGAAGAGGCAAGTATAGATTTTCATGACCTTCATCCTGGCAACATCACATTAATTTTTGTGTGTATAGTGCCAGTTAAGTTATTGATTTAATCTATTGTACCTTTTCTTGAATTTTCTGCATTGAAATTAATATTGTGCTTTGGATAATTTTGTAAACTTTAGCTTAAAGGCCATGTCAGCTTTTTGCACAAAATGTTTTAACATTATGAAATACATTCAATGATTGAAAATGGAACAGGGTGGCATTTCAGAATGAACCAGGTAAGTGAGCTGAAAGAAAAGGAGAATCAGGCTCTGTACATATTCCTTCCTCCATTTGCTAATTCTAACAAAAGGCTACATATGAATGTATATTTTTATCTAACTTTTAGTAAAAGAAATTAACCCTAGAAAAATAAATTTTGCAGCACAACCTCCCCACGAGTGAGCACCGTGTATGGCAAAACATACAGTACACACTAAGTCAACTCATGCTTATTAGTTTAATCACATTGAAAGTAAAATGAGATTTTAAAAAAGTCACTAAAGGAAAAATAAGAGCAAAGAATACCTACAATACAGTTGAAAGTGTTCCCAATTAACTCTCATTATCACAAAGGTTAGGAATTCAGGAAGATAAAGCCTAACTGGAAAACTCTCAAAATCGACACAAATATTATCACCTATTTCTGATCAACAGTATTTGGCTTGACCAAAGTGTGTAGCTATTGGATAAAGAGGCAATGTTTGGTGAAAATCTAGCACAACAAATAATACATTGCCAAACTGGTGCAGTTTGCTGCAGGAAGTCCAGTTACCATATATCATTTACTGGGGGAGGCGATAGCCTAGTGGTATTATCGCTAGACTGTTAATCCAGAAACCCAGATAGCATTCTGGGGACCCAGGATAGAATCCTGCCATGGCAGATGGTGGAATTTGAACAAAACATCTGGAATTAAGAATCTAATGATGAACATTAATCCATTGCAATTGTCAGGAAAAACCCATCAGGTTCACTAATGTCCTTTAGGGAAGGAAACTGCTATCCTTGCCTGGTCTGGCCTATGTGTGACTCCAAATCCACAGCAATGTGGTTGACTCTGAACTGCCCTCTGAGCAATTAGGGATGGGCAATAAATGCTGCCTAGCCAGTGATGCCCTCATCCTAATAATGAATAAAGGAAAAAAGTGTAGTTACATGTATGAAATAAGCCAATTTCTTAAATGCCTTAAGACCTCCAGAGAAAAAATTTCAAACTATATTCATGAAGTCACAGAATATTAATCCCATGCTGTCAGTCCTGTCATTACTTTTACATGTGTTGAAGAACTTGTTCCTAAATAATACTTTTCATGAAGCATTGAAATGCTGCCAGTATACCTCCGGTACAATACATGCTATTAATAGGGTTAAGAGTTCATGGACTGGTGTCTCAGTGTCATCTAAAAGGCCCAAAAACAGAAATTGCTGGAAAAAATCAGAAGAGCTGGCAGCATCTGTGGTGAAAAAGTCGAGTTAATGTTTTGAGTTCAATTTTTGTTCTTGTTTCTGATTTACAGCATCCGCAGATCTTTTGGTTTCTCATCTAAAACAATTCCTGCCTTCACATTAATGTTAGATGGGTTTTTCAATGTTCAGATTTATAGTTGGTGTGATCTGATTCCAAATAAAATTAACTGTGAAAGTTTATTGTTTAATCTCAGTCATCAAGACAACTGCCACAGTCCCATTGTAATCAGGCACACAGAGACTTTATATCCCAGGGCAGCTTATTGGAGAGGTCATGATATCAAGGCAGCTGTGCATTCCCTAAGTATTAAGTATATTAGGAAACATTTAGAATAGGTTTTCAGCATGACGTTTTCCTTTATCCACATTGCACATGAAAATGAATCAATTGTTCCCTTGCAGCAGAAACATTACTAACTGTGGCTTCTGTGGAGATCCACCATTTTGGGTCTCATCTATATAACTATTTGACGGAGCCAATCCAATAAACTAGGAAAATAAATGCCTTGGGCTAAACGAATCCTGAGCAACCAAAATTCGAACAATCAATAATATACCTCCAACATATTTATATTCCTTCTATAAATCTGCTACAGAACCCTTTGGTATGTGGCTGTACTCAGGTGTGGGTTGTTATTGGGTGAAGTTATATAGTATCTTACAGTAAAGATTGATGTAGCAACTATTTTCTCAACTGCCTCAAATTTCATTTTTTGAATTCATAAAAGCCCTTCGTTCATAGAATCCCTACAGTGTGGAAACAGGCCCTTCAGCCCAACAAGTCCACACCAACCCTCAGAGCATCCCATCCAGACCCATCTCCCTATAAGCCCACCTAATCTACACATCCCTGAACACTACGGGCAATTTAGCATGGCCAATCCACCTGCCTACACATCTTTGGACTGTGGGAAGAAACCGAAGCACCCGGAGGAAACCCACGCAGGTACGGGGAGAATGTGCAAACTCAGTCACCCGCGGGTGGAATTGAACCCGGCTCCCTGACGCTGTGAGGCAGCAGTCCTAACCACTGAGCCACCATGCTGCCCCCAAATTTATGAATATTAAGACTTGTAGTATGAACAGTTAAAGTAAAGATAGTTTCTGGAGAACAGGGGACTAGAAATAGACTGTCTACTAAACAGTCCAGTCCCACTTAAACATATGGTTGGAACCCATGCCTCCTGAAGATGGAATTGAAGAAAACATTTATCATCGTTATCTTCCATGTTGTGATATGAAGAACCCATAATATAATTTGAAAGCAAAATGCTGTGGATGCTAGAAATCTGACATAAAACATAAAGTGCTGAAAAACTCAGGAGGCTGAATTTTCTGCTGCACATTTTGTCTTCATTTCATAAGATAATTAACGGGAAGTCTATCAATAGCATGACACAGCTTACATCTAAAAAGACCATCTGGAATCCAACTTGAATGCAAATATTTTTTCTGAGCCTCTGAGCTGTTTCGAGAATACTGGATATTTGTTCTGGTCACTGAGATTCCACAATATGGCCATTAAGTGAGACCAGGACTGGATATTGCTGTCACTGTTCTAATGACAATAGGTTCTCCAGAATCTCACTGAGGCTGATTTGAAGGGAGAAAATTAAAATGTTCTCATATCCATTTCACCAAAAACATAGTTTAAAAAGCTGACTTTGTTTTTGCGCTTCTGTTTATTACATTCAATGTTTATTTAATTGGTAGTCAGGATCTTGCCTAATCCAAGAGAGAAGGATTATAACTGTCTGTTTCATGTTGCATTAGCTGTTTGTTTTATTGTCTTAATCCAAGCAGTTAACACTCTGTCCTCCTTCCTATGTTTTTAATATGAATTAGTTCACATGCTCAGCTTTATTCTCTATCTCATGCTGATTTGTCTTTGCCTTTGTGCATTTTCTTTATTTTCTATTTACTCTGCTCTCTCCTCAACCTTTGGGCGTTTTCAGCCAAGTTATGGTTGTCCAGAATGCAAGGTAGTGTTTGCTTTTTCCTTCTGCTTGTAATTTTTGCTGAGCAGATCTTTGTATAAGTTTTACTAACAAAGTCTGCTGGACTGACTTTAGAGCTGCATTTCTTTGCACATTTGTATCAGGCTCTGTAGCATAACAAGCATCGTTTGTTCACTCTACTAACCAATAATTTTCTTGATAATTGCTTGATACTTTAAAATAAGAATACACCTCTAAAGTTAGTGATTTCCTGAATATAAAGGAAAAATGGTAATCCAACTCTTCATTCTAGGATAATTAGAAATTATTCAGCTTTCATGGAAATTATGCAATACAGTAATGGAAAAGCACTTCCAATTTTCTGCCTTGGTTACCCATATTTTGTGCTTTTTCAGCTTTTAGTCTGTGGGTTATAGCAAAACCTGGCTCTAAATATAAATACATAGAAATTTGCTTATTTCAGTCAAATTGGACTGTCACAGATCTTCCATCAGATCAAGCTGCATTCTAGATTTTTGTATAGCAGATGTGGATAAACCTTGAATATAAATCATGAACACCCAGAACTGAAACTTTCCCTTACATTGTTAACCATCCAATGAACCTTACAATGTCGCGGTGTCTTCTTAAATGAAGAATTCAATTTTAAAATGGATAAATCAAACTGAAGTCCTGTAAGCTGTCAATACGTGAATAGATAACACTGTTTTCTTTCTGAATAGCCGAATATTCTAAGGTCATATTTCAGTAAGTCAGCATACAATATGGGTAATTAAAACTGATTAAAAAAATTGAATCTTGTGACAACCTGATGCATAAGTATTGCTATTAAATATGCATTTACAGTACACACTAGATGAAATTTGACAATTCACCCTTTTAGTTTTAAATCCTGGGGTATACAAAACAGAATATTCACTTGCCTGTATTTGCGAGTTTTTTTTTTATTTTGACCTGTTTCAGTTGTGTTTCTGGGATTTGGAAAGGGCTTTTCTTCATACTGCAATCTAACTGATGGCTTAGATCTAAAGCAGATCCAAAGATTTCTAATATCCTAAGCATTTTTTGATGTTTTTATTTGACTAATATACTTAGATTATGGCCCACAATGACAGCTCCTTTGTAATGTGTCAATGGTGCATGTCAATAGCAGATGATATAATATTTGAAATTAGGACAATTAATGCGTGAGTAGCAATTGTTTGCTTTTCTAGCACCAGGTTATAAATTGTGCACCAGTAAAAATTATCTTCTATAATTGTCTTCGCTACAATGTCAACTTTTGTGTTGTGCGTACTGTAAAAACAGGTTAAAGAACTGATCTAAAATTGGCAGATCAATGTGGTGAATATGAGAAGCTGAATTTTGAATTTGTACAATGTAATCTTAAACAAATTGCTTAACAAAATACCACATGTTGATTTTAAATTGCTCCATTTTCATTTGTTGTTTTTACTTCATAAAAATTTTTAAGGAATAAAAACAAAATGGAAACTACTGTCAACTAGCTCTTTTCAAATGAAAACTGTATTTCTATTCATTAGGTGCATGGCAATAGAACACGTTAACAGATTTTGGGCTGGATGTTGACTTTTGTGATTTAAAATCGGTGACAGTGTTCCAAAAGTTCATTTCACAACTTTTTCAGATTTTCAAAATACAGCTGCTGACTTGCTGTCACCTGTCTGTTGCAAATGTCAAAATCAACATCTTCTTGACAAATGTTTCAGTTTATCAAACATTCTGTGCATGATGGCATATTAAAGATCTGAATATACCAGGTGTTAAATCAGGACACTCCCATTTAAGACATGATGTTCCATTTTCTTGGCTTGCCTATTTTGAAATGTTCAAATTACAATCAAGCTTTGACTATAGGTAACAATGAATATAATTCAAGGTTATTTCTTCTGTCAAACACAATTCCAAATTTCTCTTCAGTGATTCTTTTCCAGACAACAATCAACTTCCAGTTAATCTCCTTTGATTGGGAAAGTAAGTGAACAAAGTCAAGATTTGCAATGTTCATATCTACTCAATCATGTTTTGACCAATTATAGTTCATTATAGTTCTAGTTTACCCTTAAAAAAAAGATATTTGGAGCAGGAATTTGACTTTTCGATGAGGGTGAGAGCAGAAAACCCATAATACTGGATCCTGGTTAGAGGGCAGACAGGGTCTCAACTAAGAAGGCAAATAGGAGGCTACCCAATATGAAAGGAGCTGCAGGCTGCTGTTGCAGGTAAGGCTCAGAGAGGGCACCTCTACCTATAGATGCACTTTCAGCACAACAACATTTTTAACTGTAAATCTGGCTGTAGTATTTTCCATCTCTATCAGTATCTGTGTCTACACAATAGTTGTTTAATGTAGTTTGCTGCCATTAATCCTCCTTTGTCTTTGGACTATCTAGTGATTACTGATAGAGGACGTACCACTAGAGACTACCTACAGATGAGATACTGCTCTTTGGTAACAAGCAAGTTTATTGCATACTAGCAGTAGCACAATTTCATTTGGTCAGGCATAATCATGAGGACATTAGGGAGCTGGTACAGGTACATATACTGCTTTTGAATTAGATAGTAAGAACTGCTGATGCTGGAATCAGAGATAACACAGTGTGGGACTGGAGAAACACAGCAGGCCAGGCAGCATCAGAGGAGCAGGAAAGTTGACGTTTCGGGTCGGGACCCTTTTTCAGGGGTGGGGTCATGGTTGAGGGGGCGGTAGGAGGAGGTGTCATTGAGTTGGTGCCTGGCCTCAGCTATGTAAAGGTCAGAGTGCCATACCACTATGCGAAAGGCTGGTTTTTTACACTGAGGATGGTAAGTGCCTGGAGTGAGCTGCCAGAAGAGGCCGTGGAAGCAGGTACAATCGCAATGTTTAAGAGGCATTTGACAGATACATGAAGAAACAAGGGATAGATAGATAGGGAGCGCATAGTGGCAGAAGGTTTTCAGCTTAGAAAGGCATCATATGTCAGTGCAGGCTTGGTGGGTCAAAAGGCCTGTTCCTGTGCTCTACTGTTCTTTGTTCTTTCATCCACAAACAGCAATAAATGAGAAAATAGAAGAGAGGGGTGAACTGAAGAAAATTAAATCACTACAGAAGTAGAAGAGCAAATTGTTGGAGCTGTAGGCTAACTGGTCTCCAGGTCTTAATGGGCTCCTGGAGTCTTAAAACAAGTAGCCTGTGAGATAGTTAGTCTTAATGGGCTCCTGGAGTCTTAAAACAAGTAGCCTGTGAGATAGTTAAATCTGTTGGCTCTAATTCTCCCAAATTCCCTGGATTCAGAGAAAGTTGCATTAGTTTGAAACATAGTGAATGAGTAAGATAGAAAGCAGAAAACCACAAGTCAGTTAGTTTCACATCTGTCATAGGGGAACTATTAAAAACTAACATTAAAGATGTTACAACACAAAAAGAAGTTCAAGATAATCAGACAGAGTAAACATGGTTTTGTGAAATGATTAACTAATTTATTGGCATTCTTTGAGGAAATAACATAAGGATTAGATAAAGGGAAAATCAGTGGGTGTACTGTCGATAAGCTGACACATCAAAGGTTGTTTCTGAGAATAAAGCTCATGGTATAGGAGTAGAATGTTGGCATGGACAGACATTTGGCTGGCTAACAGGAAACGGTTGGCATAAATGGATAATTTTCTTGTTGGCAAAGTTTAACAAGTGATGTACTACAGGGATCAGTGATAAGGCCTCAACTTTTTACAATTTTTTTATATTAGTTGGGTGAAGGGACCAGAAATATGGTAACCATATTTGCTGGTGACAGCAAGATAGATAGGAGAGTAAGTTGTGAAGAGGACATAACGAGGCTAAAAAGGGACAGGACTAGGTTAAGTGAGTGAACAAAGATCTTCCAAGTGCCATTTCATATGGAGAAAGCTGAAATTGTCCATTTTTGCAGAAAGGATAGAAAAGAAGCATTTATCTAAATGGTAAGAAATTGCAGGGATACAGAAGGACCCAGGTATTCTACTGCATGAATCACAAAAATTAGTATGCAGTGACAGCAAGGAATTAGGAAAGCTAATAGAGTCATAGAAGTCTGCAGCATAGAAAAAAGCTCTTCAACTCATCTAGTCCGCACCAGTCAAAAACAAGAACCTAACTATTCTAATTTCCTTTTCCATCACTTGTATTCTTGGCATTGAAAGTGTATTTCTAAATACTTAATGTTATGAGGGTTTCTCCTTTTACCATGCTTACAAGGAGTGAATTCCAGATACCCACCACCCTCTGAATGATAAAAGATTTTCTTCACATCTCTTCTAAACTTCTACCTATTACCTTAAGTCTATGTCCCCTTGTCATTGCTCCTCCGCCAAAGGAAAAGGGTCTTTCCTGTGTACCCTTTCTATGCCCCTCATAATTTTATACATTTCAATGGAGTTCCAACTCAGCCTTCTCTTAATAGAACATTATCATCTACTATTTAATGCAAAATTAGGAAATTATGCTTCAGTCATTCACAACACTGGTGAAACTACATCTAGAGCTCTATGAATAGTATTGGTATCTTTATTTCTTAAGGAAGGGTAAACTTATTGGAAGCAGTTCAGAAAACGTTTACTGTAGTATCACTTGGAATGGGCAGGTTTCTTGTTAAATATTGGACAGACTAATCTTGTATCTGCTGGAGTTAAGAAATTTCGGAGGTGACTTGATTGAAATATAAAAAATCTTGATGGTTATTGTGAAAAGAGTGTTTTCACTTGTAGGTTAATATAGAACAATGAGGTTGTTTTTTTTTAATAAAAGGGTAATCCATTTAAGACAAAGATGAGATTTTCTTGCTAATAGAGAGTCATGAGGATTTGGAATCCTTGAATATTTTTAAAGCAGAAGTTTGTAGATTTTTGATAAATAGGGTGGCGACTTGCTATCAGGAGAAAGCATGAATGTGGACTAATCAGCTCAGCCATGATCCTATTGAATGGCAGAACAGGCTCTAGCAGCTGAGTGGCCTACTCCTGTTCCTGATGTTTATATCTTTTCT